ATCAGTCGGTGCGTTGCCAAGCGTTCCTCGTCCTCTGCGTCCTCTCGGTGGCGGCCGTAGAGTCGAGCTCGCTCGTCCGCAAGAAGGGCTAGCGGTGGTATGCCGGCAAGGACATATGTGGCCTCGTAAGAGACATGCGGCCGGCCTCCGATCACACGCAGGCAGGCTCGTCGGTGGCCTGACTTCGCCTGGCGAATGTAGTTTCGCTTCTGTGCTGCTGTGCTCCAGATGGGGGCTCCATACAAGAGTGTGGAGTCAACGACGTGAGCATACAGCTTGCGTCGGCTTCTTCTGGGTCCGCCAGAGTTGGGCATGATCTTCGTAAGGGCACCGATCACACCGGCTGTCTTCGCGCTGACTGTTCGGAGGTGGTGGTCGAACTTCAGCTTGGCGTCGATGTGCAGGCCCAGGTAGCGGATAAAGGAGGACGAGTGTATGCTGAGGTCGCCTACCGTGATGGTGATGGTTTCCTCTTTTTTCCTGCTTGTGATGAGCAGAACCTCCGTCTTGTGGTCAGCTGTTTGTAAGCTGAGAGTTTGGAGCGCGCCTCGCACCTGTAGAATAGCAGCGTTCAGGTCGTGTTCGATCTGCCATAGATGCTTGGCGACAGCCACCACTGCGATGTCGTCCGCGAAGCCGACGATACGAATATCGCCATCGAAGTTGAGGCGCAGGATCGCGTCATACATAACGTTCCACAGTATCGGGCCCAATACTGGTGTATGTGGGTGTATCTGTTTATGTGTGTATGTATGTACGTCCGACGTTCTGGAACAAGTGTAACTTTTGAACGGAAACACGTAGCGAGATGTTTATTGACTTATTTTGAAGGATTCGTATGTCATAAGAAACGTCAAAAACTTATTTCAGGATCCGCCGAGTAGTTAAAAAATCATAATTTTTTTATCGTTTTAAAAACTGTTCTTTTTCTAAAGAAATTGTTTTTTCATTTTTTCACGTATAAATGCCGGAATTTTCACTGTTTTTTTTTGTTGCCATCATGGAAACAGAACGAGTCCGTCTATTTAGCGTCGGTCGCGTACACGAACATATGTAAAAAAACATTTATCCGTAGGGGTGTTTTTTTCGCGTACTCGAAACATATGGGGGAGGTGAAATTCTCGCGCACGCGAAAAGGGTTGTGTCTTAGCCATAATCAGACAATTTTTGAAGATGGGTTGAGTTGGAAGATCACCTAGCTCGAGTAATTTTTTAGATTTATGTTTATGTAAACCGGAGTAACTCAAATAACTCAAAGTAACTTAAGTAACCCGAGTAACCCAAAGTAACCCAATTGCAAGTAACCCTAAGTGACCTAATAGACCCAGCTCGTAAAATTTTTTAAAATTAACCCCAAGTAAGATAAAGTAAGCCCAAGTTACCCTGAGCTGGTCCATTGGGTTACTTTGGGTTACTTGGGGTTACTTGGGTTTTGTTCCGTTGTAGGATAATAAAAGACTGCGACCGATGAATTAAACAAAAACGTAATAACTTTATTAACGAATTAATCGTCGGTTATGCGTAATGGTCAGTCGGCGAAAAAAGCGAGTGACGCGCGACTCTGATGAGAGCTGGATGGGCTTCTTTTCGAGCTTCGACCCACCGAACAAGCTGATTGATCGGCAACTAACTGGTATACGCACAGACACGATGTTTCTTAACGGCATTTCTCCCATCCAGCGCCCAACACAGTCGCGCCTCACCTACCGAAACTGAGCAATAACTCAACAGGTTTGCATAAACATGAATCTAAAAAATTGCTTGAACTAGGTGATCTTCCAACTTAACCTACCTGAAAGAATTTTCTGATTACGACTCAACCAAATCCCTTTTTACGTGCGCAAAAAATTTCAACCAGACCTTCTTTCACGTACGCGAAAATTGTCGACCATACCTTCTCGGGAACGCGAAAAATTCACCTCCACAGATTCATTTTTTGTACCTCAGTTCACGTACGCGACCGACGCTGAATATACAGACTCATTTGAAAACTACATTGAATTACCAACAAATTTCTGTATGTATGTTTGCCATCCCGCCCTTTTGGCTCAGTAGTGTCTATTTAAGGAAATCTTACACGAAATTCAAGAAATCTCTAGGTTTTTTAGAAGTTTCGTATACAAAAATGATACCGTCGCATACGAATTTTCCCTTCAATAACCAAACCCTTTCATTAATATAATTTTTTATGAGAAAGCTCTTTGTCAATAAATTGGCAGCGATTTTTTTCTGTAGACTCAGACTCGGCAAGGCTGTAATGATCGCTGCGCATACGGTTGTCGGTGACCATAACGGAGCCGTCCAAGGCCCTGCCTCTGAACCATGAGTTGGTCCTGCTGCTGTTGTGGAACGAGTCGAACAACCTGGTCCCCTTGACTTCCGCATCTCGCAAGTTCACTGTAAAAATGTTAGTTAAAGCCGAATTTTTGAATGACGTCATGAGGTCGGAGAAAGTCACTGGCGGGTATACACCGAGGTCTATTTCGGTGGCGATCCGTGCGAGTGAGTCAGCTCTCTCATTACCACAAATGCCAATGTTAGAAGGAATCCAAGAAGGCCTTATGGAAAAGTCACGGTTATTTTTGAGCCATGCTATGTACTTGCTCTTTATCCCTAACAGGACTTGGTCTAATTTGACACCGATATTATCCGATTGAAAACTCAGAAGTGCGCTCAAGGAATCGCTAAGGATTATGTAATTTCTGCCGATGGCCTCGCTCTGGATGTAATCGAGAGCAGCATTATAGACCGGCAGATAGTGACCGATAATAGGTGCCAATTTTTAAACTTATGCCATTATGAAAAGATAATAGTTTGGCACTGATCAAGTCTTTATCTAGCTAGGCATAAGAGCACCTAGTGTCCTTTGGTGTAGATCGATATGGTCATAGTGTAAGAAAAACTAACGATTGTGTGCTGATTTTTAAACTTATGCCAATGGAACGGGTGAAATTTCGAAACTCATAGAATACATAAAAAATTATGGCATGAGGGCCACTAGTAGATATAAAAATCTACACTGTACGAAAGTTGTGAAAGATGTTAAACTATCATCTTTTGATAATAGCATAACTTAAGGGATAACAGGAAGCTTAAAGCTATATATTCCTAAAATTGCTGACCAATGAAATTTTGTAATCACAACAATAATACTGGTGGTCGTTCATACCTTTGAGAACATGTTTCCATCCTCATATCAAAGGTATGTGCTCGTGGTGTGGGTACCACTCATGTTAATTTGGTTACCGATCGAAGCAATTAAGGAGGCTCTTTCGATATTGATAAAAATTCTAAATCCAAAATTCACAATTATGTAGAAAGAAAAAAAATGGGGGTAGATGAACTCGTTTCCGAGAAAAATGCTGTCGAAAATTGCAATTTTAACATAGACTCGTATAGGAAATGATCTTGTTTCGTTAATAACTTTTGTAGAAAATTCTACATCCTCATAAAAGTTATATCAATTGATTTGTTAGAGTTTCACGAATCGTTTCCTGTGAAAAAAATAGGGGCAGCTGACCATTCTAAGAAGATAATCTGCTTTATATGGTCAATTTTGTGGTGAGACCCGAAGCAGCCAGCAGCAATGCAGTGCGCATGAAAGCGCGCGAAATTCAAATACGCTTCCAAAAAAAAAAAAATAGTATAAATTCTGTAAAAAAGTCTTTTATTAAAAAAATATTAACACTAACATTCTTTAAATAAATTTGTTAATGAATATTTAACAATTATATAATTAAAAAATTCTTATAGTTTAAAAATATTGTAAACAATATAAAATGATAAAATGTTTGCTTATGCTATTTATCAGTAGAAAATAAGCTTAAAATAACATTAATTATTGCTTTATTTTTTGTAATCCGAGGTTTCCCATTAATATCTTCTTGTAGCAATAATTTTAAAGATTCATGCCCTCCTGTTTCAAACGTATTTTGTAAAACAGTTTTACTTAATCTCATCTTAGCCATTTTCGATAACATACCGGCTGATAGTTTTTTTTATCATTAACTAGGGAGGCTCTATTAATTTTAATCATATTATTTTTTTTTTAATTCCGTTTGCAGCATTGATATTGTACGGTAATTACTCATTACAACGGAATCATCAATTTCTAAATTGTCTATAATATAATATATATATATGTGCCTTAGAAACGGCCACATGAATATTTTCCATTATTTGCACAACTTTTTTTTGGCAAATTGACCCTTTTTTTCCCCCGAAGCAACTTAACTCCATAGACTGCTTTTTTATCGTTCATAATTATCAATATGATTATAATACAAATATTCACAAATATCGAATTTTATCGTTGCTACACGTGAGCTGTGATGTACATAAAAGCTGACGACAAGTCTGCTACTCTGCTCGCAACTAGTCGCATAGCACATGCGCAGTACGTTGCGGGCTGAACCATGCATTACCGCTCCGCGCGCTTAATGTAAAAAACATTGCAGCGGAGGTGCCTCCTTAAAATGAGGTTTGTCGTAGAATTCCCAGCAAACCACTGAATGAATTCACTTCAAATTTTATACACTTCTTCAGTGCATAGATGAACATGGTCACAACAACTTTCTAAGTGATTAGAGCATTATAAAAAGCTATTTCACCATTTTAGTACAAGGAACCATATAAAATTATATAAAATGAATCATTTCAGATAGATATAATAAATATAGAATCAACAATAGTGTATGTATTCCTTAGATAGTGGTTGTGACCATGCTCATCTATGTACTGAAGAAGTGTATCTAAATTTCCAAGAAATCAAAAAAAATTCGTACTAATACGATGATAATTGACTGAGATATAAGCATTTGAAAATTGACAAAATTTTGATGAAATTTTTCGTCACAATAATTTTATTGAGTAGTGTATTTTACCTTGCTGTTGGCTAAATTCAATTAAAAAGAATTGTAAATAATTTTGAATACAACAAACATAAATTTTGAGTTTAATACATTAGCTAATAAAATTAATTTTATCCTTTTTCATATCAGGACAAGCATTATGTACAAATTGTAGAGATAAAACACATCAAGCAAAAATGTTCTCAAGACATCAAATACTGGTAATGGATAAGCGCTTAAGAGATAATCAAAAGCGATGTTTAGCTCACGGAGAAGTTTACATAATGTTTAATCAAAGTGATCAAGTGATGCTATGTGCAACTTGTTTTCGAGAAATGTCACCTGATACACGATTACATTGCATTGATATCAATTCGGCTTGGCAACGAATATCTGAAAAAATGAAACGGGCTATTAATTCTATGTGTGAAATACAAACAGAGATGCATAAGGAAATTCAAGATCTGAAATCTCAACAAGATAATCTTCAATGCAATATGAATGTTACTAAATTAAAGCTTGATACTTATGTTAAGGTATGAACATTTTACAATTACCAAGTAGTATTTTTAAAAGTGTTGAACTAGTATATTATGGTACGTGTGACTTGAGCAAGCCGTTATTGCACGGCACAGTTAGCACCCCAACGAAGCGAGGGTGCTAGTGCGGTGTTAAGAATGGGCTACTTGAGTCATAAGTATCTTACACTTTTATAGTACTGAGCTAAATTCACGTTTAGGCCCCCTTTAGGCGAGATATAAGGTGCTCATAATAGCGTCGCGGTGCAATAATGAGCAGCTTCAGTCAAGGCAAAGCGGGCCTAAAACGTGAACTTTAGCCACACAGTGCTATAAAATTTTTTTTTTTCAAGTAATAGATAAGTGGTACTATTTGTTATAAATGTGCTTATAGGATTTAAAGAAAGCAGTAGACAAGACTCATGATGCAGTCATGAATGGACTTTTACATGAATTCCAGGACAAACAAGGCTCAATGCAATCAAGGGTTGCTTCTTTGACTAGCATTCTTCCCATACTTAAAATGCATTTAGGATTGTGCATTTCTTTCATGTCAACTGCTGATAAGTATCAGTTCTTAGAATTAGCCCATACTGTGTTGGAACGGTTAAATCGGGTAGGACAGTTGGGACATTTTCCACAAATACCTATTATTCTTACAAGCCAAAATGATAAATTCAAAATTGAATTTATGAATGCTTTATATCCTTTCATATCTCATTTTGACTCAGATACGGATATGGAAACACACTTTCATCAATATGAAAAAAAGCAAAATCAAAAACAATCTAAAATACATACTCTACGAATGAAACAGGTAAAACATTCAAATAATTTTTAAGTAATTTTACAAGGCTAAAAAATTGTAGATCTATCAACCACCTGTTATGGGAGCTAAATAAAATATGCAAATTGAATATATGAAACTGATTTTGGTATTAGCGAACGATTGTGTAAATTTAATCTAGGATTCCTTTCAATTGTAACAATTTATACATTATTCAGCATGAAAGTAATTGAACTTTCAACAAAAAAAATTTGAACAGAAACAAAATTGAAATTCCAACAAAAAACCTCTCACGCACATTTTTTCGTTTGAGCTACTCGTCACTAAGCTAAGAATTATTTAAATATTTACGATGTTTAATGAATTTCTGAAAAATGCTAAAATGGTCAACTTTAGGCTTCTGGAAAAGTTTCACAGAAGGCCAAAAATTTTCTAAAGATTGTTTGGAACGGAAACAAAAAGTTTTTCATATTTGCAGAATGTCTACAAACGCAAGCACATTTTAAGGTATTGTGTCAAGTTTGCACTTTTTTCAGGCTATATCCTAGCATTTCCTGAATTTTATAATATCATATTATTAAATCAAAGTGCATATCATAGACATAAGAAGTATAGACAGTGGGCGAGCATGCAACGAAGTGAAGCTTGTTTAGAGAGAGAAAAAATATCGTCTGTCTCTTTCTAATGGGTGGAGTAACACTCGCGCTTGCGCGGTAAGCGACACCCGTGAACACGCATGCAAACCAAAGCCTAGGGTCACAACTTATATACAACTAACATACTCTTGCATCTGCAATGTGCGCGTGGCTGTGTGGTCAACGCGATCTCTTTATGTTCTCGAGATCGAGGGTTCGAGACCAATTGAAGTCTACGATATTGATGTTTCAAGAAATATTTCTTTTAAAATTATTTTTTCAACTCTGGAAAATATCCTGTATTATGAATATGATGTGTGAAAATATATTTTTTTTTATTATGCAAATTGTACACTAGACTGGAAGCAAAAAAAAAATTTTTTTTATTTTGCCCGGACCAAACGGAAAAGTGATCTATGTACCAAAAAAATAGTCTGTGAAAAATTTTAGCTCATATAAATTGAGATAACTCGTGCCGCCAGTCGCTTGAAGGTTTTTGAATTCGATTTAAATTAATTTTTTCCGCTTCTTTACAGCAATATTCAAATGTCTATGTAGCCGTCAATTTTTAAGCAAATCAAAATTTAGGGTTCTCAAAAAATCAAAGGTCTTAAAAAGACCATTAATTTGCTTTTTTCTAAGTTTTGATTGCTTCAAAATTAACTGCTGTAGAGCCATTTGAATATTGCTAAAAAATCGAAAAAAATCGCAATTTTTCTAGTTTTCTAATAGCTGAGGTTCGCTCGGAGAAACACCAATTTTTCCTAAACGCCAGGGTATTTTTTCGTGTGTAATAAGCTAAAAAATGACGTAGGTTTTGACCGGAATATTGCATCCTAGCTCCGTATAGAGGCATTTGAAATATTTAATTTTTTCGTATTTTTTTTTTGCTTTCCTCCGTCTAATGATCACGCGCTTTTTATTGTGAGGACATTCACAAAATACTGCAACATTTTCCAAATACTACTGATGATTAGAAGCATCTCGAGACCTATCTTTTAAGCCCCCTTAAGCGCTTAAAGGTGCCTCAGAACTAAATCTACAGCCAAATTAAGAATATAATCATTAACGAAATTTAAAAATAGAATCGCAATTTCGAGCTTAACTTTACTAAAGTGTCCTTTCATTCCTACAAATCCCCAAAAAATTTTTAAAGCATCATGTTCGACGTATTTTTCGACGAGAAAACCAATGGTGACCTTGGATTTGACCTTGAACATAGCCTCTAGGCTACAACGAAACAAAATTGATTTTTCGCTCGGTGACCCCCATTTTTTATTGCAGATTTGAAAAGAGCAAAAAATTTTATGTTTAAATATATCTATAGTTTTTTTTTAAGGTTATTTTATTCCATTCCTTATATGAGATTATTCTAGGTTATATGAAGGTCTTTTAGCATACAACATCGCCCTTAAGTGACCATGAACATATAATTCTATAACCTTAAAAAAAAAACTGAAGATGTATTTGAACGTAAAATTTTCCGCTCTTTTCAAATCTGCAATAAAAAATGGGGGTCACCGACCCCTCGGTGTTTCTCTGAGCGAACCTCAGCTATTAGAAAACTAGAAAAATTGCTATTTTTTCCATTTTTTCGCAATATATATCTTTGACTACGAATGGATTTATTATTACAATTGGATTATTATTACAACTGGATAATATTAATAAAATTTTACTCTAATTTCAAAAAATTGTTGTAATTTTATTTGAATTATGATATATGTGTAAGCCTGATCGCGCGGCACATATGCAATTTCGCATGCGGTGACGTCTTTTGTTTTTTCGCACCCACCCACCCCTCTGTGAAGGATATCGCAGACGATATCGATAGCTTAATGCTACTACTATTTTGCAAATCTATTATTGACTGCGCTATTTCGTAAAGTAAAACTAAATATTTTAGTGCTATTCTTTGTCGTTATAATCTCAAAACTTAGTTTCGAACATTTGTACGTGTACCCGTAATTGTTTTAATTCATCACGTTCAATTGAAATAAAAAACAAACAACGATGGGTCGGTCCTACAATGTACCGTGTACCGCAAGAAAATTGTGATCCAAGTAGGTCATTCCATATGTAAGATTAAGACAATGATTGGAGTTAACTGACATCAATATATATAATAAGTAGTTCCGTTAAACAACTTATGAGACTCACAATCACGATAATCTGCACGCCTATAAAACTATTCGGTTCCTAGCAGAAAACGTAAATACAGCGTAGCGAAAGCCGCCTGTATTTATAACATGCGCGGAAATAACAACAACAGTATACAGGCTAGCATAAACAGGGCCCCTTATTCGCTCTTTTTACGTTTTAGACTGGGGACTGAATCGTTTTACATGTAGTATACGTGATAACGAATATTTGTATAAATTTACGCATGCAACATATATTGCACGATATGTTTTTAGTTTTGAATCTTGATATAAATTAGTTAACTAAATGATTTATATTGATTAATTTAATTTTCGAAGCCATTGACGTTTTGACAGAAGGGTTTGTACGGAGAAACATTCGAAACGGTGCTGTATCTTCGCGAAATTTGCAATTTTTGCAAAAACCCGTCGCTGAACCTTCGCGAAATTTGCAATTTTCGCTAATGTCCGTTGCTGCGCCTTTGCAAAATTTGCAATTTTCGTCAATATCTGTCGATGGACCGTGTATGATGCCGAATTCAAATGATTGCCCTTCTTCGAGTGATAGTTGTAATGAGGCTTCTTCATCGCATATGGAAGTAGATGAGATTAATGATGATCGATTCAAAGATCTACCTTCTCTTTTTACGTCCAGCAAATTGCACGAATACGACGAGTTTGATAGGTATATGAAAACAATAATAATGTCTATTGATAAAAGATAATTTAAGTCCTTGAGAATAACATAAAAAAAAAATTACAGCAAGGACATTGAGTCTACATCCTTTTTTGATGTTGAAGACGGACTTGACTATGTCTCGTACAGGTACAATCATAATTTTAAAATAATCCCTAGAAAATTATTTATAAAAATTTTAAACAATAACATTGACCTTTCCAGTAACGCAACTCCAGAGAAGGCAGAAAATGCCATTCGCATAAAGCTCGTTGTAAATCACCGTACTGAATGGTTTACCGCTACAGATTTCCGTTCAGAATCGAAATGGCAACATTTTCGTGAATTTATTTTGAACGCTCGCAAAGAAAACCGTGCAACGAATCAAAAAATAAATCGATGGAAAAAATGACTCAACAACGCTAAAGATCTACTTGGAGAGCTGAAAGAGAAACATTTTTTAAGCGAGGCAGAAGAAAATTCAATCAACGTTGTTAAAAAATTCTTCGATACTTGATTCTGTGCTAGATAATTAATAATAACTTTATATAATTTCCAGAAGTCGCTAGAGCTGGGTGTGCGATCGTTGATCGAATCTGTCCTGAAGGGTAAAAAGTATACTTCGTATCCGAAAGCGTTGAAAAATTTTGCATTGACGTTGCACTTTTATTCTCCAAAAGGATACGAATACGTGCGCTCCCCTTTCAGCAAATTACTGTCGCGTCCGTCTATTTTTCGTACATGGTTGCAGACGGTTAACTACCCACCCGGAATTTCTCGCGAAGCATTCCAAACTGTCGAAGATTTCTCTAAAAATGCTCTCATCGATGGTAAAAAATTGTATTTCAATTTATGCCTTGATGAAATGTCGATTCGGAGACACGTCAGTTGGAATAAATCGAAGGAGAATTTGAGGGCTTCGTCGATTTTGGCCGACCAACTGATTGCCAAGATAATGAAGAGCAAGCTTCCAATGCTCTTGTTTTTATGCTAGTATGTATAAATGGGTACTTCAAGATACCAGCCGCATACTACCTGATAAACTCTTTGAGCGGCGATCAGCAGAGCTCATTAATCTTGGAAATATTAGATAAGTGCTGCGTACACGAGATAGACGTGCGAAACATTACTTTCGATAGTGCCTCATCTAATATCAATATGGTTGAAAAGCTTGGAGCATCGATCTACGGTAATACGTCTATTTCGTATTTTCATAGTTCGATTCTCAAAAAGCGCATTTACGTTTCGCTCGATGCTTGCCACATGCTCAAACTTGTCCGTAATGCTCTTTTTTCACGAAACATCATTGATGGTGAAGGGAAGATCATATCATGAGACTACATTCGGAAGCTAGTAGATCTTCAGGACAAGGAAGGATTACATCTGGCTACGAAGATCAAGCGTCTCCATGTTGAGTCTTTCAATGAAAAAATGAAAGTATGCCTGGCAGCCCAAGTCTTAAGCAGAAGTGTAGCAGCAGAAACGTGCGAAATTGAATTGGAACTCGACCAATTCGAAAACGCCAGTGCCACCACGAAATTTTGTAGAATAATCAATGATTGCTTCGATTTATTAAGG